GAATACCGTTGCAAGCAAGCGGTGTACTTGGTCTGCAACAATGTTTAGGTAGGTGGTATGTGTCAAAGTAACATCCATATGAATGCCAGGACCCAAGGTTTCCCAGCAGAACATTGCCCAGAGCATCACACTGCCTCCGCCGGCTTGCGTTCTTCCCATAGTGTGTGCTGGTGCCATCTCTTCACGAGGTAAGTGACAAACACACATCCGGTGATTTACATGATGTAAAAGAAAATGTGATTTATCGGACCAGGCCACCTTCTTCCATTGCTCCATGGTCCAGTTCTGATGCTCAAGTTCCCACTGTAGGCACTTTCGGCAGTGGACAGGGGGTCAGCATGGACACTCTGACCGGTCTGTGGCTACGCAGCCCCATACGCAGCAAGCACATACGCACTTGTGTGTTCTGACACCTTTCTGTCATAGCCAGCTTTAACTTTTTCAGCAGTTTGTGCTACAGTAGCTCTTCCGTGGGATTGGACCAGACAGGCTAGCCTTCACTTCCAGTGTGCATCAGTGAGCCTTGGGTGCCCATGATCCTGTCGCCGGTTCATCGGTTGTCCTTCCTTGGACCACTTTTGGTAGGAACTAACCACTGCATAGTGGGAACACCACACAAGACCTGCCGTTTTGGAGCTGCTCTGACCCAGGCTTCTAACCATCACAATTTGGCCCTTTTCAAAGTCGTTCAGATCCTTACGCTTGCCCATTTTTCCTGCTGCCATCACCTCAACTTTGAGAACTGACTGTTCACTTGCTGCCGAGTATATCCAACCCCTTGACAGGTGCTGTCGTAACGAGATAATCAGTGTTACTCACTTCACCTGTCAGTGGTTTTAGTGTTATGGCTGATCAGTGTATATTTTTGTTATATTTTAATATTTTGTTTGTCATTAATGTGAAACAGATTTTGCTACACATTACAGAACTGCTCATTCAAAAAAAAAAAAAGCAGCAGTTTTTCTTAAATAAGTGTTAGAATAACAAGGAATACTTAATTATCTATATAAATATTTTATAATTTCTGCAATATGTAGTTACTTATGTAATATGCATTCCATAAGTAACCAACAAAGTATTAGGATGTAGCAAAAATATTTATTATTTTATTACTTATTAATAGTTTTACACTATTAGTGAAATAGAATTTGTGTGTTAGATATAAATACTATTTTGCTAATGACTTAAAGTCTGTATGAACATTTATGGCATTTATGGGTTAAACCGTGGCTGTAACATAGTAACAGAAAACTTTCACATTTGTCTTTTGAAAAGGCAACTGGAGCAGATCAAGCTGTCGGTTTGGGCCTCGTTGGCTTCAGTCTATTACTGTTCACATACTACACCATATGGGTTATAGTGCTGGTAAGTAAAATGAATCTACACAGTAAAATGACTTTTAAAGTACCTTTGCTTTCAAAAAACGGCTATTTCCATTTGGCTTTTAGTTGTTGCTTGAGCATCATTTTTTTTTAATGGGCTATTAACTGGCAATGACAGTGTAATACTTGATACAGAGAGAAGATTAGCTATTTATGACAATTATCCTAGGAACATCTGTCCCCAAGTTAAGGATAAAGTGTTTCCTGCACATTTAAAGTCAAAATATTCTGCACAGATATTAGTCAGTCTAACAGAAGGAACTGCGTGCACATGGGAATATGATTGATGAGTGATCACAGGACGGTGTAGTATCCCAAATAATAAATGATACTTAACACTATACTGCATACCACAACAAGTAATAGTATGCAGTCTGCAGTGTGTACTCATGTAGTGTATAGTGTACAAGGATACCATTCCCCTTTTGTTCTCCAACCTTACACTTATTTTCGACTTTTTAGTTGGACACAAAACCTAGAGCTTCAATGATCTTCTGCTTTCTTTTCAGCCATTTGTCGACAGCGATCATGTGATCCACAGTTACTTTCTTCCTCGAGAGTACTCTGTCATACTTCCTGGCATAGCAGCATTGATACTATTACTCTGTGTTGGTAAGTTTGGCAGACATACTGTATGTTTCTGTGTAAACATCTGTTGAAGTGAAAATTGCTCGACTGCATTGAGAATGTACACTCACTGAGCACTTTATTAGGAACACCTGTACACCTACTCATTTATGCAATCTAATTAACTAATTATCTAATTAGCCAGTCATGTGACAGCAGTGCAGTGTGTAAAATCATGCAGATATGGGCCAGTAGCTTCAGGTAATGTTCACATCAACCATCAGAATGGTGAAAAAATGTGATCTCAGTGATTTTAACTGTGGCATGATTGTTGGTGCCAGATGGGCTGGTTTGAATATTTGTGTGACTGCTGATCTCCTGGGATTTTCACTCACAACATCTGATTCCACTTTTGTCAGCCAAGAACAGAAAGCCAAGGCTGCACTGGACAAAGGCTCACCCAAACTGGACAGTTGAAGACTGGAAAAACGTAGCCTGGTCTGATGAATCAGGAATTCTCCTGAGGCACACAGATGGTAGGGTCAGAATTTGGCACCGACAGCATGAATCCACAGACCCTCCCTGCCTTGTGTCAACAGTCCAGGCTGGTGGAGGTGGTGTAATGGAGTGGGGAATGTTTTCTTGGCACGTTTTGGGCACATTAATACCAATCAATCATCGCTTGAATGTCACGGCCTATTTGAGTATTGTTGCTGACCATGTGCATCCCTTCATGGCCTCAATTTACCCATCTTCTAATGGCTACTTCCAGCATGATAATGCACCATGTCACAAAGCAAAATTCATCTCAAACTGGTCTCATGAACATGACAATGAGTTCAATGTTCTTGAGTGGCCTTCCCAGTCACCGGATCTGAATCCAATTGAAGACCAAATAGAAGAGACTTGCAGCATGAAACTGCACCTGAAAAATCTGCAGGAATTGCGTGATGCAATCGTGTCAACATGGACCAGAATCTCAAAGGAATGTTTCCAACATCTTGTGGAATCCATACCATGAAGAATTGAGGCTGTTTTAAGAGCAAAGAGAGGCCCTACTCAGTATTAGTATAGCATTCCTAATAAAATGCTCGGTGAGTGTATTTCTGTGGATAATGAATTGTTATTTTGTTGCATGAGAAGTCAAGATGATAAAATGTTGCGTAACATTTCTTGGTAAGCCTTTTCTTTGTAACATTTGTCATAAGACAAAATAACTGGGGTGTGGAAGATGTTGTAAGCTGTGGTAAATTGCCATGACGGTCTGATACCATGACACATTATGTCAGGTGTTCTCCAACTTTTCACAGCCAGGGTCTCCTTTAACAGCATGTTCCTTACTTGAGACACACGTCTTGCTATATGACTAACTTGCACTGTTGTAAAAAACCCTTTTACACATTCTTTCCAGGTACCTTCATAGGAATAGTCACCTGGAAGAATCGTAAACCAAAGAAAGTCGACTAGGAATCTCCAGTCGCTGTCATTCAGCTGCCCAAAACAAGGACATGACGAAAACTCAACCTGCGTATCAGCTCCTGTACTTAAGTCTCATGTATAACTGTTCTCTGAAGCTTCCTTGCTTTTCATGTAGCAGACAGTTTAGCCCTGAGGAAATGACCAATGAGTGTAAAGGAGCCAATTAGAGACCACAAGGGGTAAAAATATTTACTCATTTCTGTATATGTGGAAATCTGTGGAAATTTCATTCCACTGATATGAAAATACGCATTACTGTCCTATCTGCTGTTACACTGTACACAGCTGCTATGTTCAGTAACCACTAAAACATTCTCAATGCTCTTATGCATTTCTGCCATCCTATTAGACTGTAAATAGACATAAATGTGTGCTAGTAAATGATAAATAGGGATAACATGCTCAATGCTGATTGATGAGATGTTAATGAGAGAAGGTACACAAATTTCAGGGGTGTTTTGTACATGCTGCAATAAATAATTATTACATAAACATTTGCATCATGTCATACTGGTCTTATCAATAATCTCAGGTTTGTGTCTAAGAAATTACGGCAGCTAGAAATAATGATGGTGGCACAATGAATTCAACTCTAAGCTAAGGATTATAAGATTGTGAGTATGGTTATATTATTGTTATATACGTTATATAATTATATATGTTATGTAATTTATTAGAAGTGCCTGGTTTGGACCTGTACTGAATGTCTGGTAGTGTGTGTCGAGCTGATGTGATTATAGAGGGGTTTTTAAACACTGCGTACACTTACTGGCCACTTTATTAGACACATTAACCTTGTAAGTCCACATTGTAATTTAACAGTAAAAGACTATAGCTAGTTTTACATGCACAATTTGTGTTCTTCGTTCTCTTGCCCTTCATCAGTGTCCATTTCCAATCAGAGAATGCGGTTGGATGGATATTTTTGATTGGTGGATTGGTGTGTTGAGAAAAATACCTGCTCAGTGGTGGTCCTATGGTGGTCCTGTTTCACTAACTGACAATGTGGAAGAGGGCTGACAAGTTGAATTGTGCATAACGGCAGACGAATAGGTGTCATCAAATGTACACCTACTAAGTACACTTGTATCATAGGTGTAGATAATGAGATGTTTAATAAGTGTAGCTACAAGGTACGATTCTGTATACAAAACAAAAAATAATGGGTCACATCAAGGGGTTTTACTTTCATTACTGGTTTGTAGGCTAATACTTTGGGGTGCGGTCATATGGAATGAAAATAAGCTCTGCAACCACAATTCCCACACATGACACATCTAATAGGTCTCTTCCTCCTATACAATTCATGCAATGAATCATACCTAGCACATCATGTCTAGCACTGTTGATATAAGTAGTCACTGTATTTTCAAATCCCTTGAGTATTAGGACTTAGAGAGTAACTAAAGTCAGTATAGTAATGTCATTTGCTTCTAGAAACAACAAATCAGACATTCCCCATTGATATCCCATGTCTATAAACCTGCACAGGCCACTGTTCATATTAAAATAATGATTTAAAATATAAACTAAAATATTTTACATTTCAGTTTGATTGGAAATTCTTGAGGAGGCATGGTGGTGTAGTGGTTAGCGCTGTTGCCTCACGCCACCAGGTTTGGGGGCGCGAATCCCACCTCTGCCCTGGGTGTGTGGAGTTTGCATATTCTCCCCATGCTTTGGGGGTTTCCTCTGGGTACTCCGGTTTCCTCCCCCAGTCCAAAGACATGCATTGTAGGCTGATTGGCATCTCTAAAATGTCCATGGTGTGTGTGTGCGTGTGTGTGTGTGTGTGTGTGTGTGATGCGATTGTGCCCTGTGATGAGTTGGCACGCCATCCAGGGTGTCCCCTGCCTTGTGCCCCTGAATCCCCTGGGATAGGATAAGTGGTGCAGAAAATGGATGGGATGGATGGATGGAAATTCTTGAAATTAATGCATGTTCTAATTCATGAATAACTGAATGTATAAAAACAGTATTGTAATAATAAGCGCACGAGAGCGGCACCGTGTGGGCGGAGCTTTCACTGCGCTCGTGACGCTCAGTGCGGCTCCGCGAGAGCGACAGCACTGTTCGATTCCAGAAGTGTTGGAATCGACTCCGATTCCCACTGCAGGTGCTGAGAATCAAAGGAGTCGCTTCAAAGAGTCGATTCTCAATTCCAGAAACTAAAGCAGAAGACAGGAAACACCTTAATTATACTAAAAGTACCTAATACACTATTATACTTAAGGAATTTTGTTACATTTACTAAATTCATATGCTAAATTCATTTGAACATTAATGAAGATTTAATCAGCAATATGATTTGGAGAACTAACACATGCTAAATTACTTTAGCTTCTTGGAGGGTTGCCTTAAGTAGCCTGGCTTTTGTTCTTCAATTAACTGTTTAGTTAACTGGCGATGTTGTTTAATTAAAGTTTGTTTCTTTGTTTTATAATTTTACATTTTACATCGTTGTCCAAAGTAAAATGCTGTTTAAACTGCTGGTTTGTGTTGTGGAGATGAGAATCTCCTTCTCTCACTTTACAGCCGTCTCAGAGGGTTTAAACTCCCCTCCAATAGTTTATAACGGCTCCAAATCCTTCATTCGTGATGGTTAACATAACACACATACCGCGCAGCTGATTATATAACTGTCAAATATCATCGTTTGCGCAGTAATTGCGCTGTACTGATGTTCATAAAATGTAAACGAAGCCGTTACGATTCCATATTTAACGTCAGACAAATCAGTTTGTTTAATCACATTTTATAGGCTACCAGTTGCTATGGTGAGAAGTAGGATTAACCAATCGCAATCAAGCATTTTCCCTGTTTATGTTTGAAAGCTACTCGTCTGATAGCTAGCCTTTAAACATAGAGCTATCAAACTGATGGACTGTGAAGTACTTAAAGTTTATTGAAAGAGGAGAAAAGGAAAGGTAGAGCTGATTTTTATAAAATAAAATGTCAATTTTTTTTTATTTTATATGCTGTCGTTTTATTTCATATTATCACCAACATGTTATTTGAATTACTTGCAGTGGAACTGTAATAAAGGTATTTTATGGCAGTGTTATTAACATGGCAAGATGGCGGGAGGTCGTGCCTTAAATGATTAAATAACACATTCGTGCCTTCACCGCTCCTTTTACTGTCTGGTATCCACCTAAAATGCGGTAATATTATGTAGTATATTTCTTCATCAACCTACAATTAATAAAAAATAAAAAATAAAAAATAAATACACTATTTCACTGTGTGGAGTCGACTCTCGATTTCTCAGTGGCTGTCATCGAAGAATCGACTCTTTTATGGAATCGACTCTTTTTGGAATCGACTCCCAGGCAGAAGCAGAGCGCTGAGCGATGTGGCAGCTGAGGACAGAAAGAATGCGCTGAAACCGCAGAGTCAGTGGACATGAAGCAGTGTCTCCATGATGAGTCAAACTGAGGTAACATCTTTTTAATCTTTTTCTTCCTCAAAACTGTTTCCTGTTTAACAGACAGGATTGTTAGGAAATGTCCATGTTTATGCTGAGCTGTATGTTCATTCTGTAAGCGCTCCTTCTTTCAGTCGAGTTTGCTAACAAAAAAAAAATAAAATAAACAAATAAAAAGATTTGTCTGCTGTATTCCGACAACGCTGTCAGGAAAGATAAGGTAGGTGTTTTTCTTTCTGTGAGAAATATTCAAAAACCTACCGAGTAGTCCATAATGACAAAGAGCCTGTGTAACGTTGTGTTGTTATGGCAGCGTTCATGTGTAGGTTTCATGCCAGGTCATGGTTATGAAAAGGTTAAAAAGCTACTAACATACACTGACCCTTCATGTCAAGGAGCTGAGTTATCAGATTTAATCTGCTGCATCTGAGCAGCTGATTCCCATCACTGCAGACAAATAAGCCTCTGTGAGCTGGCCAGAGACCACTGCTGGATCTGCATCTGCCCCAAACACTCAAAACATTCACTGAGGATATGCACAGATTCAGATTTTTTAACATTTATATATATATATATATATATATATATATATATATATATATATATAGTTGGGGTCTGGTAACACGATACAGGGGGGTGTAAAATTTTGAACAGGATGATCGGTGTGTGTGTGTGTGTGTGTTTGTGTGTGTGTATATATGTGTGTGTGTATATATATATATATATATATATATATATATATATATATATATATATATATATATACACCCACACACACACACACACACATACATATACATATATAGTTGTGGTCTGGGAACACAATACATTAAGAGCCAGGGGGGTGGAAAATTTTGAACAGGCTGATCAGTGTGTTCGGATAATCCTGTTCCAAATTTTACACCCCCCGGCTTTGGGGCTGCGGATGTCGTGAGTAGTTTTGCACTCAGGTCTCCATCAGTGGACAGTGGATATTTTCAACAAACCAGACTTCAAGTGAAAACTGTGATGAATTTACTGGTTGCACAATTGCACTATTTGTCCATGTAGTACACAGTTAGAAGGGATTTATTTATAACTGCACCCAGATGAGGATGGGTTCCCTTTTGAGTCTGGTTCCTCTCAAGGTTTCTTCCTCATGTCGTCTCAGGGAGTTTTTCCTTGCTACTGTCTTATTTCTGTAAAGCTGCTTTGTGACAATGTCCATTGTTAAAAGCACTATACAAATAAAATTGAATTTATATATATATATTAAAATATATATATATATATTTAAAAAAAAATATATATATATAAAATTTTGAACAGGAAAACATTTAAATATCTTATGTAGCTTCTGAAGGGCAGTACTAAATGAAAAAATAAGATCTTTAAACAGAATAATAACAATGAGTCCCTCAGTTGTCCTAAGTGTGAAAAGATGGATCTCAGCATCATATAGCTACTGTTGGAAAGGGGTCAAATATTTAGAAGATGCTGGAAAAGCAAAGAATATGCAGTACCTGGAGGATTTTTCTGAAGAACAGTGGGCAGTTTAACTGCTCAGGACAAACAAGAGACTCATGAACAACTATCACAAAACATAAAAACAGTCGCTGATCATCCAGGTAACAACAGAGTATTAAGAATCAAGCGTATGTAAACTTTTGAAATGATTTCTTTGTGTAAATTCAGTTGTTATTTTGTCTTGTGGATTATATGTAAACATCTGTTATGTGAAATAGCTTATTCGGGGCAGTATGAAATAAAAAAAAACAAAATGCAATTTTTATGACCCCTCTTTAAAATTATTAACATTTTGCAGATTCTGCAAGGTTTGTGTAGACTTATGACCCCAACTGTGTTTATATATATATATATATATATATATATATATACACACACACACACATACACACACACAGAAATATATATTATATATGATTGGTGGAATGGTGTCCCATCGAGGGTGTATTCCTGCCTCACACCCATTACTCCCAGGATAAGATAGGCTTGGGCACAAACCTGACCAGGATAAAGCGGTTCCTGAGAAAGAACGTATGAATGAATGTTAAGTCCCATGTTTCAGTGCTGTATCAGTCAACGTCACAGATGTTCATAGGATAAATGACGTCAGTGAATTGAAAATATGTCATAGTCTTTTTGATATTGATCCAGTGCTTTGGGCCAGGTGCAGCAGTGTTCCTTATTTTTCTTACCTGCCTACCTAAGCTGGTTTCCCCTCAATAAAATGCCTTGGTAGTGACAATAAGTATCCTTTGAATATCATAAAATATCAGAGTATTTTACATCTCCTAAGTACTAGCTTTTATACCACAGCACTGTTGATTCTTCAATTCTGATCAGTCAGAATGTGTTGATGAATTTTCTGTAACAGCAGCTCTAAGAGCAGTTCCGGTTGATGCAACATTATAGTTTCTATTAAAATCGCAAAATCTAATGCGTTATAGTTTCTTTAGTAACAATTTACGTAGGCAATTTGATTACGGATGCTCCTCATAAACGGATTATAACTTATGTCGCTTCTGAAGGGCAGTACTAAATGAAGAAATAAAATCTTTAAACAAAATAATAACAATTTACACCGATCATCCTATTCAAAAGTTTACATCCCCCTGGCTCTTAATGTATTGCGTTGCCTTCTTGAGCATCAGTGAATGTTTGCACCTTTTGTAATAGTTGTGTATGAGTTCCATAATTCCCTCAATTAAAATATGAGTAATCTTTGATACGTCTTTGATAGGTTTTTTAAACATTTTTGGAAGGAGTCTCCAGTATCACTGCTTTATAACATTCAGAGGTAAAGCTGGAACTTTAAGTTTTCTGACAGGTGAAAAATCTTCAGGGCTGAAGGCATTGTGGTTTCTCAAGCAAAAGCAAAAAAACGAGGGTTTGGTGAGGGAACTGTTGTTTATAGCTGCTATAACTTAAGTCACAACAAGAACTAACTTGTTTAGCGGAAGTACCACAACATTAAATGTAACTATAAAGAGATAAAACATGCATGTTGTTCTTTAATTAATAGAAAATTGTGCTAGTTGACACAATGTGGTATAAGAAGAATAAAACATTTTGGAACATACTGTTTTAGGAAAATAATCAACTTCAGGGTGGTAATGCTCCGCTCCGTTGTTGATCTTTCTACTATAACAGTATGTTTTATTTCTTACATAGCAGAAGTACAGTATTCTTTGTTACATATAGCTCTTTGGAAATTG